TCCAATCAGTGCAGAATTTCAGGAAAGCCACATCTTGAAGGAGAGCTGACGAAAAAAAGAAAAAAAAAAAAAAAGAAGAGTTTTGGCTCCCACAAAATAGTATGTTTGTGAGAGCCAGACTGTTTCACAAACACAGCATTTTGCATGTCAGTCAGGATCCACGGCCTTAGGTGGCAGTTTGGAGACACGGTGTTTGTCTCTTTGTGTGTCCCTGAGATGGACATGTGCTGGACCAACTCACTCTGTGTCCATCCAGTCGATAACAATAAACATTTTGTAGCTTCTATCCCCAAACAACTGCGACTGTTCAATTATCAACATACGTGATCAACATTAAGGTCACAAAATTTATTTGTAGAACAATAAAAACACATAGAATCTGATATACAAAAAGGCAAACATTATATATATATACATACAACCGAATCATTCCTAACAAAGACGGGATCACGCCTCATACATACAAACATCACATGTAGTATACAAACATTAGGCACATTAACTTAAAAAAAAGAAAAAAAAAAAAAGGTCAGTGGGTAAGATTTTAAAACGTGTGATAAAACAGTGAAATTGACCTTTGCTGACATTCTTTGAAATTAAAATGATTTGGTATATGATGAACCAAATGCATCTGTTTTTTTATCCCAATACGTTCTACGCGTGTTTCAATACCAGAATCAACACAGAGACTGAAAGTGATTTGAAAAAAAAAAACAAAAAAACAAACAAACGTCAGCCCAGGCAACTGGACCAGAGTGACTGAAGAGACCAGAGTCTCGTCAACACATGACAACATTTCAAGTAGCCACAAATTGTGTGCAGTGAGGACTATGATGCAACCTTTGACTTTTCAACTACAAAGTAAACAGGTGAAGGTGATGCTGCTTTTTTTTTTCTGGTCTTCTCACCCATTATATTCTTCATGCATAGAGAGATCAGTAGTTGAGAATATTTACTTATGAAGAACAAAAAAAAAAAAAAAAATCTACCCTGATTGTCATTTTAAAAATCCAACTTTGAGTGCATGAATAATAAACTAAAACTGAAATAAATGTTCAAAAACGACGAATGAAATGAAAAAAAAAATGACACTTTCACTTGCACGTGTACGTCAGATTTCAACCAGCTGTACAAAGCCATCTAACCAGCAGGGGGAGCACAAATACCGGGATAAATCAATGCCTTTCCCTGTGTGAGACGACTAACGGACAGCTTTACGTAGCTTTACATTCATCTTTCCATGTTCCTAAGGGTTGACTCTAGAAAGCAGCTGTTGATTGAAATGCTGAACCCCAACCTTTAAACTCTACTAAACAAAGATGACCAAAAAAAAAAAAAAATAAAAAAAAAAATAAATAAATACATTGAAGAACCAGCGATTTTAAAGCATTACAAATTTTCTATCCAAACACAGAAGATTGTCATTGTTAACTGAAGAAACTCTACTTTTTGTCTTTTGGGATTTTTTTAAAAATATAATTACTTGGGTATTGCAAATGCCAAAAAAAAAAAAAAAAAATTTCTCACATGACTTAATTGTAAATTAAACCATGAACTACCAGCAGCAAGAAATGGTTCTAGAATCAGTACTTCAGCAGTTAACGGACGCCTAAATAATGATTTTTTATATATTTTTTTTAAAAATAGAAAAGTATATTTTTAGTCGTTTTTGAGTCCTTTGTTTGTGTGAGACAATGGACTTCTAATGCACCAGCCTGTTTTTTTGTGCTGGGTCTAATTAAATGTCGTCAAGGTTAAATTCCAGAGTTGTTTTTCACAACTTTAAAAAAAAAAAAAAAAAAAAAAAAAAATGTACAGATGAAGAGGATGACTGGTACTTAATGTAATTATCCAATATTTACTCAGCGTAAAGGGCACCACCTGCTGAAGACTGTGAACAAAATTAAAAACCAAGCAATTAAATAACACCCAAATACAAATTAAGTTTATTACCAACAATTCCTGACCTTTAAATGCCACCACCAAGAAATGTATAAAAGAAAAAGGTAAAACAAAACACTACTTCCTATGAGAACCATAAATGACCAGGAACACTTGTAAAACATGACGTCAAATGTTTCCTACGACAATGTAAAGTAGAGAATATACGAAAAAAATAAGATGCTTTTTTTTTTTTGCTTTTTTTTTTTTGATGGCGACCGGTGAACATTGCATAGCCAATTCGTCAAGTAATTAACGCAACCAATACATTAGACATAACGTTTAAATTCCTACGTGTAGCCCACATATGTGGACAAAGATGTCGTCCGCTCTTTGCCAAAGTGCCGTACTATGTCATTGGTGAGTTCTTGATGGTGAATAGACTAAATCTTGATAAAAAAAAAAAAAGACCAATTTTGTAAACTCTTACAACACGTGGACAGATGGAGGAAAAATGTCCATGAGATAATCAGCAGTGGTGTGGTCACGTGCCAGTAGACCAATATGCCATGACAGCCACTACACTACGCGGTCGGTTTCCCCATTGGACGCCTTCGATGTCAATCCCAATTGATGGAAATGTATCAAATTTGAAGTCATTTTACATAGACTTCAATTCAATCCAAGGCACTTTGGCCAAAACATCTTAGGCCTTCCGACACTCCACTGCAGCTCTACTGTTAAGGCAACACAGCTTTGTTTGGTTGAGTGTATATATATATATATATATATATATACAGTCTACGGTCCGACCTCTTTTACAGCACATTCACCTCGAAGTAATGAAAGTCACTTTAAAGCCACATGTCCAAACGTACGTACGTGACACAAAAGGCAAAACATAGTGACAGTTTTGTGGAGCAGTTCGACTGCGTGCGTGCTCGAGTGCACTCTTGGTTTGTAAGAAAGCTCAAGCAGGGAAAAAAAAAAAAAAAAAAAAAAAAAAACAGCATTAGGATTTCTTCATCTAGGTCAAACCACACTCAGACCTGCTGAGCGCTACAGGGGTAGACAAATCCTCCACTTATTTCTTGAAATCAAATTGTAGTACGCACTCAAACAAATGTACAGCACATATTTACCTCCAACCTTTAAAGTATTTACCAGTAGCAAAAAAAAAAAAAAAAAAAAAAAAATTACCAGTAAGAGAACGCATCCATCCATCCATCCATCCATCCATCCATCCATCCATCCTTGCATGCACCCATTAATTTGAGTGCAGTGCCAATCCCAGCTAAAATCGGGCAGGGTCACCAGTCAATCACAGGGTCAACTTAAAGTTACAACTTACATTTTTTTTTTTTTACGATTCGATTTAATCGCCTACTGATTTACTTCTCAACAACACAGACGAAACCCACTGAAAATTAGCCCTTGTTGATAAACGAGAATTCACTGAACAGATCCAGTTTTTTTTTCCCCCCCGCCGCCGTCTAGTATGAAAGGTTTTAAATCGAGTTGGAGTGACATAACAGAAAACACTTTTGGCAGAAAACAGGAAAACAGGTGTAGCAGCACAAACTAAGCTTGCAGCAGCAAAACTGCATACAATACTAATAGGGTTTTGTACGTAGGGTTAAAATAAAGTTAGCTTTACTTTAAACACTGCTTGCAATAAAAAAACACCGTTTTACCGGGACACATTGTGCTAAAAACGTCAGTATCTCTTACCTAAAAGAGCCCCCCAAGGGGGACACGTTGTAGATCTGAGACTCGATATTAATATAATACAGCAATAACATGCTCCACGTGGAGCCCACACAGTGTTAAAGCATTGAAAAGGCATCATAAATAGTTGTATCAATATGTACACACAGACACAGGGGGCGTTGGACACCACTCGGTGAAGCCCGGTTTGTACAATAAAGCAAGATCAGCTTGCCAAATAGCAGTGTGACATATCGTCGAAATACTACTAGGTTTGAGCGTTCGGAAATGCTGCTCACGCTACACCTGTCCTAACTTTTGGAAGGCATTAAATGCATCAAGCCGTAGTTCGACGTGACCATTGTTATCATTAAGTGACAGCTGCCGCCCAGTCGAAGTAATTCATGCTATTGATGACATTCATGATGTTTTCCCCGACTAGGTCGAATCCCACAATGTCTTCTCCGTTAGGGACATCTTACCCCACGCCTCGCGCCGAGTCGTCACTGGCAGTTCAGGTCTGACCTCCTGAGCCAGCCCCATATTTCGATCATTTGCTGTGGTGTCCTTGGGTGAACAAGAATTAAACTTTTGTAGGCACAGGGGTTGGTCCTATACTTTTCTTCTATGTCAAACGTTTTAAAGCCTTTGTGTTTCTCCGGGCCCAGGCCTGCTTTCCTCAAACACATACCCGTGTAGACGTCGTCGATTGGGTAAAGGGGAACCAGACGCGACACTTCATACAGGTGAGCCGCCACACTGCCGGAGTAAAGGTAGCCACCGCCTCCGGCATATGGAGGATATTTCCCAACGTACAAGCTTTCTGGGATAAAGTATTTCACTTTCTTGTCTCTGTGTGGCCCCGCGTCGTTAATCACATCACCTACGAACAGGCTCTTGGCCTTGTCCTCCGATAGGCCATTGAGGAAGTCGAGAATGAGGTACGTGTTGACAAAGACGTCATCATCACCTTTGAAAATGAACTGAGCACCTTGGCAACGACTTTGAATCCATTCCAGGAAGAGAACTTCTTTGACGGTTAAGTTGAAAAATGAATCCCGGAAATCCCACTGGATAATATCTGGGTGGCGACCGATTTCATCGCGCAAACTGTCTGAGAGATCGGGATGGAAATCCCAGGATGAGGACATTCCAAGAAGGAAAACGGTAACTATGGTACGATTGGCTAAAACACCTGCTTGTCCCCAAGACTGGCGGATAGCCTGACGGCGGTCGAAGTGCGGTATCTGGGATTTAATGGCTAGGAGCAAAAATGGCGGCTCTTTACAAATATCCAGCTGGTCCACGACAATGGGGTAAGAGCGGCAATGCATATGAAGCAGAAAATCCTTAAAGCGATCTGGTAAAACGTTGTACTCTTTGACCTGAGTGGTTACTTTAATGTTCTGGTCACACGTGTTAGAGCTCACGCTGGTTTGGGCGAGCCACTCGGGCAGATCCGTAGAACTGCGGTTGACCGACCAGTTAGGATTGTTATGGAAATCCAGAATCTGCTGTTGACGGTTCCAATAAGCGTCAACGGGAGAGAGTTTAGTCCAGAAGGGTTTTGAAGGGACAATTATCTTCTGACGTCCATTCTTGTCTTGGCCGCTTTGCCGACACATTAGGATGAATATGAAGAGGTTGACCATGACCATTATCACGATAAACTTTACTCTCTTCCACTGCATCCTGTTTTTTCTCTAGTTGCAACCTAAGCAAAACACACACACACAAAAAAAATACATTTGGCAGTAAGTAAATGGAAATACTTCAGATGTTGGTCACGTTTGAATCACATTTTCACGAGTGCTTTCTAGTTCATTGTTTCAGAATTGTAGCGCCCTCTAGAGCAGGGGTGTCGAAGCTCATTTTCACTGGGCGCCGCGTCACGGTTGTCCTTGAAGAGTGGGTTTTAATTGGAAGATGTATAAATAAAATATATGCAAATAATAAATAAAATGAAATATTAAAATGTACTTTCACATTAAACCACTTAAACATACTTTTGAGGTACTTTAGAGGCCCAAAAGGGGGCGCCCAGAGGACAAAAACAAACGCTGAAACATGCCCAAACTTTTCAGAAAAAAACAAAATTGCATATATATTTATATATTGTGATACGACCAGGGAACGCACACACTCGCCCAGCTAGCCTAAGCTGTTATTAAGGCTATTTTATTTATTAAGAGAAGCTTTATTTTTTTTTGTACTCCTTCTTCTTGAATCTGTTCTTGTATTCATTGAGACACCTAAAGATTCACATCCCTATAGTATATGTATCAAATATATACAGTAGCTGGATCGTGCCTCTGCAATTAATGGGAAACACTGACCAGTCTGTTTACATGGTCCATATAAGCATTCTTTTGCATTTCATTTGCAAAATTCTTTTTCCTCGCTCCTACCATATTTAGCCTTGCTACACATTCGTTGCCAGGAATTATGGTTGGCAAAGATCCACACTCCTTTTCCCTTCAGATAGTTTTAGGCTTGTCCTGATTATTTTTCAAGTTCACATACAGTTTGACTTGTTCATGTTTGGGAAAAAAACGCTGGACTTCTTTGTTTGCTTTAGGGTTTTCGGTTTAAAGAGAGAGGGTTTTTTTTTTTTTTTCTTATGTGTCAAGCACAATCTCACACTTGGGCTCTTGTGAGTGGTTGATTTAAAAAAAAAAAAAAAAAAGAGATTTAATTTTTAGAGTTATGCTTTGGCACACTCCCACATCCTGCCATATTAGATTTCTGCTGCTCTCTCATATTTCATTTGTTAATGAAAAACTCAATTCCTATTGCAGCTCTTGTGAGGAAAAACAAACAGCAAACGTTTAAAGGACAACAATAACATAAGACAATAGCATACAAACACCTGGGTGTACGGACTTCATCTGAGCACCGTTCATTCACGTCAAGCTGGATTTTATGTATGATTGATTTGATTGTGTTTCCCCTCTCTGCACCACTGCATATACACTTCCTGGCTGTGTATTATGTTGCCTTCTCATCCTCCTAGCAACGACTCACACTGCTGCCTGCTCCGTTTCCCACTCCAGGCACACAGTGTAGCCCTCCTTCTCTTTGCTGCTCTTACTATCATCTGCCCTCAGTCGTTCTTGCGCTTTTGAATGATACATTTAAGGACATGTCATGATTCAGATTTGGTCAATATAGAACGGAGATGTATTATTATTATTATTATTCTGTTTAACTAGGAATTGTTTATTTCACTTTTATCTACTAATCATGCATAAGGACACACTGTCCTTATGCTTGTTGCACAGTGGCATAAGGATACACTGTCCTTATGCTTGTTGCACAGTGATATTTGTGTTTTATGTCAAAATACATCTTTTGAAGTCAACATGAAAACAGAAGTAAAATGATGAAAGTGTTAACCGGTTTAAATGCACTCGCAATATCTGTCATTTGTAATAACTGTACCAATGGGAATGGTCACATGACCATGCCAGTTAATTTGCTGTCTGTACCTCTGGAGAGTAATGCCTGCCTCGCACTGCTACAAATGGACTAATAAAACAACTCAATGTACTATAACACAACTTAAGACATAATTTTTTGCACATAATAATAATTTTTAAAAGGGTGAACTGCTAATGAAGAACGTATATATATATCTGCATGCATATTGTAATCACAATGAGATTTAATAAAGCTAGCATAACACACGGTCAAAACCCAAACACATGTTAAATGTGTGAATGTGCGTGTCACGAACTCTTACCTTAACAGGACAAAAGACCTCGTTGACTTTTCTTGTCTTCGCTTTTTCTAGTTGCTCTTACCCCATACTTAGGTGTCCAATAGATGATGAGGAGGAGCAGATTGGTCTGAGAGAGCAGAGTACTGTACTGAACCTAAAATGAAAAACAAAAAATCAGACAAAACAGTTCAACCAAAAATCTATGCCCATAATACAGCTGTTCTAACTAAAAGGGGATCGAATGGAAAATGGAAAAGAATACATTTTGAAAATTGTAATTTTGTTGTATCCTGTACAATGACGATAAAACTTCTTCTTCTTCCTCTCAAGTAATTTGTTAATGTCAACTTGTACCACCATCAAAGGAATTAAATAAGTAAAAAGAACTGCATATTTTGAGCTTCTACTTCCTGTATCGAACTAATCGTTTACTCCAAAACCAGGAAAGGTACTAAACCATCTCATCTCAAGAGACTTCTTCAAATCTGATCGTAAGCGGTAATGCTCAAGCGTATCACCTACGTAATAAACAAATTACCTGTGCAAATATTTCTTTGGGCCATTTTCGGTTTTCGACCGAAAAGCTTTTATCACTGAAACAAAACGTCAAAAACAGGAAGTTATAATGAAGCAAAAACCACCAGCCTTGTTGCAAACATGTCTGCAGTGTGGCTGCATTTCAATATAACAAAGAAAGACGCACGGGTAGCGTTTGCAAAACGCATTACCCTGAAATTTTAAAATATTAAGGGGAAATTTCTTCATGTTGGGTTCACTTTTTTCATTTCATTTCATTTAATTTCATCCCGATCGCTATGATGAATATGAGAGAGAAAACATTCTTTCTCTTCTCGCCCCGTTTGAGCAGCTAACTGAAAAGATCAGCTCCTCTGATGCGTCTGTAGCAGATGTTATTGCTTTAATCGCAGCACTAAAGCGTCTTCTTGGCAAAGAGGTTGAGACGCACCACAAAGTGAAAACAATGAAAAGTAGACTGATAAAAGTCTGTCAGCAAACATTTCACTGGAATCCTCTGCACTTCACTGGTACTTGATCCACATTACAGAGATCCATTACTCGGATGCGGGAATGAAGCAGCGCACACGAGAAATTATCCAGCAATTGACTTAAATGCACTTTGTGTTTTTATGAGAGATAATATCTAATTTTACAATCTTTCAGCGGGCCTGTACTTTGTATCATTTGATGTACGCATAAGTGGGGTCAACATTTTATTTTGAATTTTATTTGATATTGTGCTAAATAAATATTTTTACAGTTTTGTAATTGTTTTATTTTTTGTACCATTAAAATGAACTCACGCAATTGCAGTGCCTTGATTTTGTTGAAGTTTAGTACACAGTCATAGCCATAAATGCAGTGGTACTAATAATTATTACGCTTAATTACTTCTTTCGGTATTCGGCCTTGACTTCCTCATCTTCAGTTTTCGGTTTCGGGCAACAATTTTAATTTCGGTGCACACCTGTAATAAAGTGATAACGTGTTCACTAGTAATTATAACGGTAACAATTATAATAACCATGTGACTGAGTCAACACAGTAATGGAAACAGAGGTGATAAGAGATAGGATGGCAGCCAAGTCTGCAATCAAGTGACGGCCACACAAGCCCTACGAGGCGTCCAGGATAAAGTTCAGTCATCGGAAAGACAGTAGTTATTTTTATTGAATGTTCTTACAAAGAACATTATGGTATTTTTGCATTGGGAATATATTCCTTTTCTCAGGGAATATAGGGAAAAAAAAGCCTGATGGTGGTATTAGAGACGTGACACAGATGGAGTAGTGGCTTTACTTTACTTCAACCACAAATGCAGTGATTGAACAGGAAACAGAACCACAAAATAAAAACAATAACCAATATAAACAAACCATGGCCAATCCCCATTAAAATCACAACAGCAACAGACATAATAAAGTTATTTTTACAAAACAACTGCTACAACATTAACCGATCACTAGAGCCCACAAAAAAAAAACAACCTTAAAATAGACAGGACATCAATGTTCTCATCTAAAATCCTCAAGAAAAATATCTCAGAATGTTGGATCAAAAGAAGCTAAAACCATCTATTAGAAATATAATGTCCTAAAAGCCATGTCTAATTCAAGACTTCCATGAACTAGAGCGAGTGCAGCTCCTCCATACACGTTTATCACTAATCTTAAAGCACACACTTTTTTTTTGTTTTTGTCATGGGTCACACAGTGGCTGGTGGGAGGCACTCTTGCTGTACGGCACATAGATAACTGGTTTAAGCCCCGGCTTAAACTGACGGTGTTTCTTCATGGAGTTTACTCATTTCTTCCGTGGCACTTTGCCATGTGCCCTGATTTCCTCCCTTTGGTCAACGTTTTGTACTTTTAAGGAGGGTCAGGAAACTGAACATCTATTTACATGCTTTCATTTTGTAATCTTTAGCCATAAACAATTACAAATTTGGGGTCCCATGATAATAAAAAAAAAACAAAGATAATCAAAATAAGTGGATTTTTAGGACAGGGGACAAGGAGGAATTGGAAGCTGGAACAACGTCTCCAAGAGTTCAACTCAAAGGAGGTTCAGATACACAGCTGCAAACGGGGAGGAAAAGTGTGCCAATGAACTTTACCTGTTTTTCAACAGGTTTGACTCTGCCATCCAAACAGTCAGTAGGCGGCCACACCCCAACTTGAACTTCGGCTGTACTTCCCTCCTCCTCATGCCCCTCCTCTCTTCTTGGTGTCATACAGCACATCTTCCACCCGGGCCTAAGACTGGAGATGTTACCAACGCTGTGGAAAACCTCCTGTGTGGTCCCAGCACCAAAGGCTGTGCACTCCAGAGAGAGTTGAATCACTGCAGACCTGTTGTAGCTCTAAACGTCTGACCTGATGATGGAGAGGATTGAACTCCATCAGAATCACCTCTCACCCTCTGTATGACACAGTGGGAGACAGCTGTGGCAGACTGTTCAATACAATGCTATAACTGTTAATATTCTTCCACCGCACCAGCCACTCATATTTGACATATTGCCAAGCCTCTTACTGTATATATCGTTACACTGTAAATGGTTTTTTTCTTCCGTGTGCATTTCTTCTGCGGTGATAAGAAAGAAAACAATGATTGCGAGCGAGTCGCCGCGCTTGCATATTGCTGTCGTTCAGTCCTGTGCTGTTAATGCAGCACGCCACAGTGGTGCGGTGCACCTTGTCCCCTGAACGCAAACAGTAAATTCACTTTGAGCATGTTATGAAACCGAGGAGGAAGCAGTGATTTAATGTTTTAAAGTGGAACACAGGCCAGGGACACCAAAATAAATTATTTAGCCAATTGTACAGTGAGTACCACTGCATTTATGGATATGAACTATAACTAACTATGGACACTATGGTTTACTAACCTAACTGAAACCGTGTCATCATGGCCAAGAATATTTGGTGCATCCTTAGTAATTAGGGTTTTGTGTCGGTCTGTCCAAGCGACAGGTAGACAAGAACAAATCCACTTGATAAAAAGATATCGCATGCCCTGCAATATAAAGCATATATATGTGATTTATAGTAAAGAAGGATTAACCAGGAAAATACATTGCAATAAAAGGCTAACGGTAGTAAGGACAGATAATCACTAAAAACTGAATGTCAGCTGAATAGAAACTTTCTCGTCCACATTCATATCAAGCGTCACAATGAATAACAGACATGCAACCACACGCCGCTCTTGACTGTGTTACAATCAGGTTTAACAATGCATACAGGACAGACTCGGGCAATTAAGATCTGACTTCAAAACTAAGAATGTGGGCATGTAACAGGACAAATGCCTTCAGAAGACCGGTATGCTCCAAAGGTTAACCAACCACAATCCGTCTCCAAAGGGCAGAGTAGTTATCTGTGTCAACGGGAACTATTTCTGTAAAGTAATAGTACGGCGATGGGGTGTCCTCATTATTAGCAAGGCCTTTTGGGAACTTCCGAGTCTCTTGTCTTCCATGCAGTGAAATAAGTAACTCCAGAGTTAAACTGGTAATAGGTCAGTTATTTCAATCAGTGTGAGCTAATGCAGCTGTCAAGTGGTTTGTTTTTTTTTTTGGAATGGCTCATAAAAACAGATTAATCGCTTGCAAGTACTGCTCGGTACGATAAATTACTACTAACACAAACACAATAGTAACAAATGACTACCGAGAAAGCTCAAAGGGGTTGTTCAAATATGCTATAAACCACTTAGCTATTACCAAACAGATGTCATGTTTCTTCCTTAGAAGCCCATACGTGTATTAGGGTCAGTATTTTAATTGTGGCAGAACAGGAAATTCAAATTAAATATTAAATTAAAAGTACAAGGGACATTTTTCCACCCTCTAAAGGTGCAATTTTTTTCCCGAACCGGAAGTTTGGGCCGGGTGCTACACTACATTCTCCACACTGAGAGTTCTGATTGTTTTTTTTTTTTACTGCTGGATGGGAACAAAGACAACTATAACAAAACAACAGATAAAACTGCATTTTCACATGTTGGTGTCCTGTAGAACCTGGGGCCTTCTGGTAGAATAACCACTTGTCTCTTGCTGTTTAAGTCATATAGAAGAAAAAAAATAAAAAGAAGCAACTGTGTGAATATATTACTACTCAAGGCAGTCACAGAGCCAGACCAAAAAAAGAACTGAAACTTAATGTATGGTTAAAAAAAAAAAAACCAACAACCTCAAATCAACTAATTTTGGGACTGCATTTTAAAATGATAAAATTTTTGTTTTGTTTTCACTGCATTTTTAGAGCAATACAAGTGTGATGTGTTTTTTTTGTTTGTTTGTTTTGACTGCATTTTTAGAGCAATACAAGTGTGTTTTTTGTTAATGTTATTTGCCTATCATATATAGCAGCAAGACTGGAGTAAGGTATTCTATGATGTCTAAACATAGATACAGAGCTGAAGAGGTCTTCAGCTCTGTAAGGCAGGCTGAAACTCCCTCTCTCTCTCTCTCTCTCTCTCACACACCCCACACACACACACACATCCCACGTCTTCACAGCAGCTCTGGAAAAAGTGGTTCATTATCAAAATGTGGATGAAGTGCACACATGACATCATAAAATGAAGAAGTAGAGAGAGAACAGTCACAAATGTGACTTGTATGAGGTTGTGCCTCTGGGGCTACAACGACAGACGTTTACACAGTGGAAGGCAGGAACAACAGGCCAGGTTGGTAACTTAAAACAACGTGACTGAACTAGACACTATGACTAGACACTAATCTGTGTTGGTTCACGAGAACATGAACATGATCAAATTAGTATTTTATTCCATGTTTATTTTAGATGTACCTGGCCTGTGACCTCCCAAGACCTCTGAACTGGCCCTTTAAGACACAAGTTCAAATAAAACCTTTTAAAAATGGATTTTATGAAACATAAAACTATTAAATGGTCACATCTTAACAATGAATTGAGTTACACTGTTCATCTGGCCTTGTTATAACCGCGGTGAGAGTTAAACATACCGAAGTGTGAAAACGTTATACACAGACATGGCTGCTCGACAGATACTACTCTGGCACCACCGGTTTACGGTAGAATTGTTAAATATAACATTGTTGGTTGAATGTCTGCATCCACATAAACATATAATTTACACACGTCAGACTTTTAACCTGAAAAGCGACTTCGTTTACTATTATTTTTAATCACGGTGACGGGGGAATCAATCTGCCCGAGTGTGTCGGGAAAAGTGATGTGGAACAGCCATGCGTCACATTTCTACTGCTGGGGAAAAAAAAGGAAATCATGTGATGACCAGTGTAAATCCTATGCTAATGGAACAGATGAGAGAATATATTGGATATATTTACAATAATAAATAAATACATCTTTTTTTTTATAGACGAAATGACAAAAGGTCGAGCTATAGTTCAGTCCAGCCGCAACTATGCTGTTATCACCAGGTCATTGATTTTTGTCAATTATTAATCCGTTGGTTACATGATATGGTTTATTTATTAAATACGGAGCCAGATGGTTCGGTTGTGTTTCCCACCAGTACTGTTGGTTTGCTGTAAGAAATGACACTAAAAGTGATTAAAACTGATTAAAACCGATACAAGATTTAAAAAAAAAAATCTTAAAACCGAATACACAGAACTTCTAATATGATAACTTATTTGAAAGACGAAGAAGACCATTTAAATGTGGCTGTTTATAATTTGGACTTAACTGTGAACTCATTTTACTGTTTCTGATTTAAACCTCGTAGCCTCACTTTGAAACTCGGAGGCTGTTACTTTCTTACAACTTGTGTATCCGTCGTCACCGAGAAGGCGACGGACGAAGCGCATACGCAACTAACACAAGTGTTTTTTTAAGAAAAGGACACATTATGGAGCAATGGAGGCTACTCACACGGGAAAGGAGGTATGAAGGAAGGTTACCTTAAGTCAGCAGTGAGTCGGCCACTCCTGATTTCAACGCTCTACCTCCACGAAGGTCGTGTCCTGACGGAAGCCGCCCCGAAAACCCACTTTGCTTTATTTCATGTTTAGGAAAAGAGGCAGGCAGCAGGTACGGGAAAAGTAAAATAAATACACGCGACTTACTTCCGGTAGCAACTCTTCTGCTTCTGTTTCCCGTACGAGTATAGACACGGTTGAAAAGAGGACTTCTCCCTGCGTTGACATGGGCGTTGTAGGCGGAGGAACCGCACGCCCTCCCTCCCCCTTCTTCTTCACCTCCTCCTCCTCCTCCTCCTCCTCCTTATAATATTGCTCACAGTTAAAGTGGGTACAACTGCTAAACAAGGGGGGGAAACCCTGCCTTTAACGTTTTTGCAACGTGTATGTGGAAGTTCTGGATATAAAAGTAACAAACCGGGTTGGTGCTAGCGACGTCCCACGTCATCAGTTGCCCCCTTAACGAGCAACCATTGCATGTTAAATTTATGTTAATTATATATATATATATATTGCTTTCATAAATCAAGCATGGTCAATAAAATTAAGTGAAAACGTAGTTCTGTAAAGTAATGTTAATGAAACCAAATTATATAAAGAAAAGTAATAGTATACAAGTAATTATAAGATATATGCTTTGTTAACATGACTTTTTTAATGAAGACGCCTGAGAACCCCGCCTTGTCATTTGCTCGTTTGAGGTTTTCTTCAGTAGGTTTTGCTGGACATCGTTTCAATTACTAGCACCCTGTGAGTAACTGCATAATAAAGTGCAGGCAGGGCTATCTTTCGTAGGACAACAAGTGGCAACATTACAACGTCAATGATATCGACAGATGACATGTCAGTGAGGTTTTTACGATATCGCATCATTGTATAATCCCAATCCTCTGAGGACGCTTCATTTTAAATACCATGACTTATGTGCTAAGTTACATTTGACACCAGTAATGTACTTTTAAATCTGTTAAAAGGAGCTTCACTGAAGGGGTAGAGTTGGCTCTGTCCACGTACCATCTACACCCATACTAACACACGGACGGCTGTCGAGAATGAAAACAACTGCCAGTTATGACTCGATAATGTATATGTGTGTATGTAGATTTTAGTCTTGTATAATGTAACAGGTAGACTAGCTGTCACCATACATTACTGCTCGTTACCCGGGACAGAATTCACATAGAGACACTGGGTGTGGTCTCCCCAGCAGGGGGGCTTCTCTCTGTTATTTGTCTACTGAGAAGGCCAGGACAAAGAAAAGTCTGCTGTCGCTGTTTTCTCTTCTCTTGACAAACATGTTCTCAGTATCGTCTCCTATCAAGGTTCCGGTTTGTTACCTAAACGAACTAGTCACTGCACAAACTTTAAAAAAAAATAAAAAAAATACATTCAACAGACTGGTTGTAGCAGTACAGCCACTGACTAATTGTCATAAGATTATCGTGTGCAAATGAGCAATTCAAAAATGTGGGATAACTGAGTTTGGCACAAGAAGGAACTGGAGCCTTCTGTGAGTCATGTGCAACACTGAAGAGGAACTATAAAGATACTACACTGCAGTTCCCCGATGAAGGAACCAGTTTTCCGAGACATCTGATGCGTGATTAAGCTCATGATTTTTAAGATTCTAAACGGAAATGAATAATAAATGAACAATAACACCACCATAGAAATATGTGCCGTGAGCAAGTTTTACTTCCCCGGGCACATTTGAGAACATACTGTATACATGTCTTTTTAATATTTGTTTAAGAACTTGTTTGAAGTCTTTGCTAGGTCACTATTTTTTCTCTTTGCTGTTCTCATGACAAACTTGTTCTCAGTATTGTCTCCCAGGTTTGTTAGCTAATGTAACTAGTAGCTACACAAACCTTTTCAAAGACAGACTGGCTGTGGCGGCAGGGCCAACCGAGTAACTGTCCTAACGTACCGGCAGTGTTGCTACTGCTACCTCGTCTCAGTTTGCCCTTCAGCATCGGGTGCAGTGCAACGATGTTTTGATAAGGCTTTGTTTGCGACGACACCGTTAAATTCATGTAAATGCAAGCCTCTAGTTACCTTCGTAAATGTTCTTCATGTAAATCTAATTCAAACAAAGTCCAGGGAGGGTACACGTACCAACGTCTTCTTAAATATGACAGGTCCCATTTCAACCAAAGTCTGATCTGAAGTCATAGATGGTTTTGAGCTCATTTAGCAATGCTGTTTGTATACACATACACATGAATCACATACCAGTTTGTCCTTTCCTTGAATTACCACTGAGCCTAATCTTGATCACTCTGTAATGCTTGTTCTCAGAAACCTTGACCCGCCTTTGTCTTTACCCCTTTAGGATATTTACTGTATCCCACATTATATTAATTCCTTTTAAATCAACAGTTCTCTATCCCTTCAATTCCATTCCCAGCTGGTTAACTTGCCTTCAAACTTCATCAAGTAAATGCTCTGTATTAGCTTCATAATGCCATCATAATGATGTCACACTGACATTTTCATCTTGAAATGTCATCGTCTTTGGAAACATTCTTATTGCTACCTTTGGCTCATAGTTTCCTTTACTTTGTAATTATCTTACACATTTTCAACAACTTCTGTTCAGACTCCTCTAACCAATTTGTTATCAGAGCGAAGGGTTGGCTGCTGTTGCAAGATAACATTACAATTCTGGTCAGGTTTGGGTGTTACTTCAGTCTTTCTCAAATGGACTGTTGTGCACTAGGACATTAAGTTTTAAGCAGCACAATGTAGTAATGTGGATATTTTAGCAACAAACCGCAAGACCAGACTTAAAAAAAAAAAAAGAAGCTTTGTGATACAAAGTGAAACTTTATATATCTGTCATAAACACTCCCTGAAACGTTGACCAGGGGCCACACAGTTAGAGTCCGTTGTTCAAGGAAATTGTGTTATAGGTATGAAAATGTTTCATTACGGGGTTGCCATTAATACTTTTACGTCCTTTTCTAAAAAAATAGATCAGTATCTCCAGGCTATTCTTTCTTAGCCATGTACTGCGACTCTCTCATTAGCATCTAGCTAACCCTGCTGCATCAGTGGTGTCAGTGTCCTTTGATTGATTTGTTGAAAACACTACGGTTATTTGTTGCGTAAGCATGCAAGCGGTTCATAGGTTACTTCCGGTTAAATAGTAACGCAGCGGTATGCTAACCATCCATTGAATGGATTATGGGGCCAGGTTAGCCAACCCTTCACAGACAAGAGTCTCGTTTTTTATTTGCTATCCTGTCATGAACTTGATTTAGGAATATAACAAAACAGGTTTCTTTAAAAAAAAAAAGTTCCATAATTTCATTACACTTCTTTTTCATCTTCTACTGCAAAATACGTTTTTAGCTAGCAACGGCAGTCATCAGGGTACAGCATGGACAATTGATGAAGTTTACCACAGGCTCAAATATCGAGACGACTTCATACCAATACCGAAGTTGTTTTAAATTGTGGTTAGCCCTTTACGTTGCGTCCCCTTTTTTTATATACGCATGTTTTACCGTGTCAGAAAGAAAACCTCATTTACTTATTTGGAGCTTTTCATTTTTAAAATAAAAAAGCAAAACCTAAGCAATATGTTTCTAACAGCACTCACTCTTTCTCTCTCGCTCACTCCCACACACAGAGGGAGAGAGAGAGAGAGAGAAACCTTCCTGTAAGACATTGATTGATTGAGCACCAGGAAACGATAAAAGATTAATTGCAGTAACTCAGAAGTGCAGCGCTTCAACACGGACTAAGACTGTGTATCCATCATGGCCCACACAAACACTGCTCATGTATCATCTGCTAATTTCAGCATCAATACTCGACCATTTACCAGTCCCGACCATCACAGGAGACCTAGTTGACAAATAGGTCCACCACACTATCCCCGCCATCACTTCACCGAAAGCGAGGAGACCTAGTTGACAAATAGGTCCACCACACTATCCCCACTGAAAAACAGTAGTGGATCGAGTGTGTTTTGCCAACATCACAAAACCTTTGTACTTTAGTCATAGCAAAAACAGTACGATGATTTAATCAGGACACTGTCATTGTTCAAGGAATTTCAACACATTCTCTCTTTTTTTTTTTTTTCTTCACTAACCTGAAGTGTGTACAGCAGCCGTCCCGCTGACAAAACCCGATAATAGCAGTTGTGCTGAGTAAATAAATGGCAGCAGTAAATGTTGTATCTTGTTGCAGTGCAGTTTTGGAGCGCCAACACTAAACCTGCAGGCAGGGTCTAATGATTAATACTGTATTCGGGGGTTTTCAGTTCTGTAATACTGAGAATGTGGAGGTATTTGTGAAAGGTGACGTACTGAGTATGTGTACCCACATCCTGAGTAAAACCTGGGCTGATTCAAATCCACCAATCACATCTGAGATATTGATGAAGCACAATAATGCAGAAGATTAAAATACTAATACTACCAAGTTGTTGCTGTTTTTTTTTTTTTATCCCCTTACATGGAACTCAAAAGATAACGTTTATCAAAGGTATCTTTGTTCAATCAAGAGAAATCGCCGTGTTTAGCTTCTTCCCCATAGAGCAGGGGCCTCCAACTCAATTTCACAGTGGGCCAAAATTAAAACCTCAGATAAACTCGCGTGCCAAATTCAGTGTTTATTGATAAATTGACTGGAAAAGTGCACGTTTTCCCTTCTCTCCAGATATGCAATGTAGAATTTTTTTCATATGGAAACAAACTTTTTAAATATTTTAATATTATATGCAATGTATTATAATATCGGGCAGTATTTAGGGGCTAAATAAAGGCGGGGCCAACTCTGATACACATTTGATATGTTTCTCACAGGCCAAATATAAATACACCAGGGGCCAGTTTTGGCCCTCGGGCCTGAGTTTGACCCACGTGCCATAGAAAAAAAAAACACTGTGTACACTGTCTAAAAAGTATAATTTCTCATACCTGTCTTACATATTGCATTTTGTGAAGTAACCCATGGGTAATCAAGCGTTGCGTTGCGATGCAAATTTTGCCAGAAATGACATCTTTGTCATTTGTACACCCTACAACAGCTCTTCCGTGTATGAAATATTACAGTAATATATATTATCTTACATGGGTTGAACTCTCAGATGTTCTGAACTGAACGTCTTTGGCAAAGTTTAAAACAGAAGTTGGATTTCAACTTGGATTGTTGTTGGGTTTCGCAACACTGAACGACCAGTGCAGTAACAGAAACCCACAACAGACATGTCGAAAAATGTTAACGGTCACTTTGAAGAACGACAAGGGGAAACAGTTGATA